ACTTGGCGGTATTTGAACCCAAGACCTGTAGATTACAAGTCAAATGTTCAAACCCCTGAACCTCCGACGCTCTAATTCTTATACAAAATTAATATTTATAAAATTATCTTTATTATTTTACACTAATTATATTACATGTTATAGGCCTTGGCTCCTGGACTAGGTTCCCATGTGCTGCAGAATTGACTCTTAGATAGAATGGTGAATTGTAAATTAGTGTGAAATTAATTGGTGCTGCTTGTCTGTATATGACCTTGAGGTGTGTCTTTATTAAATCTTGACAATTTTGTTCAGAGATGCAAAAATAGCAGCTCTAGAGAAGACGTCAGCGGAGTCCGAGCGTCTGATGGCGGAGGCGCGCTGCGAGAAGATCCGCCACATGGACGAGCTGCACTCCGCACAGAAGAAACTCGCTGACCAAGAAAGCAGGTAAAACATTGATATACGTTAATTTCTAAAGTAACTAACTTTTGCCCGCGACGCCGTCCGCGTGGAATTAAAAATAAAAACAAAAGTAAGTGTATGTCTTTCTAGGGATACCCTACATCTATGACAAGTTTCATTGAGATCTGTTCAGCAGTTTAGGCTACAAACTCTAACAAATATCCCTCCATCTATTCAAACTTTCGCAATAATAATTAAGACTGATCAATAATGATGATTGTTGTTCGTGGTAAAATAATTTCTAATGTATTTGTTTTGTTTCAGAGTAAAAGAATTGGAATCTAAAGTAGCGGAGCGCGATGCGATGATCAAAGTGCTGCAGAAGCACACTAGCGCCGCATACGACAGCGGGGCGTCGCTACGCAACAACTCTAGCCGCGAGGAACTCGGTAAGACATTTAACATTCCTTAAAGTGTATAAGAAAATTAAGAAAAAAAATACACAGAATAACATTTACACTTTAAAAAAATACAATCAGATATATTTGAATAGATTTATGGTATTTTTTGTCCTTTGTGCAGTGGGCCTGTCGTCGGGCGCGTCGTTCTCCAGCGCGGAGGGCGTGGGCGTGGGCTCGGTGGGCGGCGTGTCGCGCTACCGACATCTCGCGCGCAGGAACTACTCCCCGCACAATGACAACGCTAGCGGTAATAATATCATCTCACAAACA